GTTTTGATGAGCAAATCACCACACAGTATATGTACTTAACAAACTTCAAAAAGGTGTCACCCTTTAGATAAGAAATACTCGTCTGGATTCTTCCCTAAGAGAACAACAGAAAAATCACACAAGGATAATTATGCATAAAATATGCATTGCACATTGAAGGGGAGGAAACACTAATGTTTATAGCATATAGCTGACAACAAATAATTTACTTTTTAAAAATAGCTATTAGAGAGTAATTTGAATGTTTTCAACCCAAAGAAATCATAAGGCAACAGATACATCAGTTACTGATATGATCCCTACACACTGTGAACATGTATTAGAATGTCACACGATAGCCCATAAATATTTCCAATTAATATGTGCCAATTAGAAATATAAACTTTTTTTGTGTATTTTAGGGAAGGGACTACAGGGTGTTCAGGGTCTCACTACTAGATCAAACTCATAGTGATCCTCCTGTTTACAGCCTCTCAAGAACTGGGATTACAGGTGCACACCACCATACCCAATCTCAACTGCCTCTCAGGGAGCCCCTGGGGTGGGGCCAGCATGGCTGGTCCGGGGAATAAACCTCCGGCCCCTGCACCTGCTTGCAGGCACTTTAATCTGCTGAGCTATTTGGCCAGCCCTACAAGTATAAACTCTTAAATATGTATCACAACATGTTTTAAAATTGTAAATAGCCAGGTGTGCATGCATATAATCCCTGTGCTCAGGAGGCTGCGGCAGGAGGATCACCATGAGTTCAAGGCCAGACTAGGTCACATAACTGAGTTCAAAGTCAGCCTGCACTACACAGTGAGTCCTGTCTCAAAAAAAATTTTTTATTGCAATAGTGGCAATAACAGAAAAATTCAGCAATAAGGGGCATGGCTTGATAATTTCAAGTAAAGAATACTTCACATTGACTATGTTTTAAGATTACTGATATAGGTAAATACTTATTAAAATTTAAAAAGGACACAAACTTTTATATGTAATATAATCCCAACTACTTATATAATAAAAGACACTGACCATGCTATCTCTCAGAATGAGAATATAGGTGATTATTAGTCTACTGCATATGCTTCTTTGTGATTTCCAAATTTCCTTTAATGTACATGAATCAGTTTTATAATAAAAGAAAGTTGATTTGAGTTACGTACAAGCCAGGGCCAGTGGATAATCTTGTCCAGTCTTAAGGCAATGAATATAAACTGGAGAATGTTGACAGAACACAGGATTTCCAACTAAAAGTGAAGAGGAGAATCAGTTAAATCAAGTCAAGGTTGTATTCAGTGCCACAGTTATTTGTTTAATGTACTCAAACGCAATGCAAATCACAATATAGTCCAACTTTTACTACATTATAGTGGAAATTACAGATTTTCAGCCCCCAAAGAGGACAGCCGCACTCTGCTAAGGAGGAATGGGCCATGGTCTCCTGTCTCATCCCTCTGTGGGGCGCTGCCCTGCCCTTTCTGCAGCTGAAAGACTTAATGCTGCTGACCCAGTGATGGAAGGCCCTGTTTAGCTGATCTGTGAAGATACAAGTGGCAGTGGCTGCCTTCTAACGTGCTCCCTGTCCCTACCAAAAATCACTTACTTGTAATCACTGTATACTTCCTTTTCCTAATACCTAGGACTCAGCTCCACACCCTCCCCCATCAGGCTTGGTCACATCAAGCCTTCAATCTGAGATTCTTCACAGCATTTTTAATCCCACCCGTACCACTGATCTTTCCAAGCAACAAACAAGTGAACTATTTCTCATTAAAAGCTAAAAATCCCAAATCCAAATAAGCCTACCCACCCAGGACTCAGGATCTCAACCCTAGCTCTCTTCCAGTAGCATCTAACTTGGTGAGACACAAGTGGGATGTGAGACCCTAATAACTTATCTCCCATTCCAAACTTCCCCCATGAGATGTGGCTCCTACCTGCATGACCACCCCACTAGGAAACTGCTTTTATCAATGTCAAGAAGCAGCAGAACACTTGTATCCTCCTGGGCATCTCTGGAGCATGTGCCATGGTAGACCCCCTTTCTGGGCTTCAAGGATCCCACCACACTGTTTTGGTGTCTTCTGAATGCCTGATGATTCCTTCTTGAGCTCCTTTCCCTCTCTTAAATAGTGATACTCCCTACAGGCCCCAAATCTGTATTCTCTCCACAAATGTCAAATTGGGGATGGTGGTGCATGCCTGTTATCCCAGCACTTGGGAGACTGAGGCAGAAGGATCATTGTGAGTTCAAGACCAGCCTGGGCTACAAAGAGTGCTCAAGGCCAGCCTGAATTACATAGCAAGACCCTATCTGGAAAAGACAAATGTCCACAGAAAGAAACACTGCTCCACTCCCTCCCTCCCTCCCCCACCTCATCATGGCCTACCATGTCACCTAGTGCTCAGTTCTCCAATCTGTCCCCAAGCTGCTGCGCACCAGCTTGGCTGCACAGGCACCAGGTAGCTTTCCCAGAGGCATCCTGAATGAAGCCTGTCCCCATTATTCCCTGCCCTGCTCCTTTCCTTCACTGTAAGCCACTGCAGCAGCCTAATTTCCCAGGCTATGAAGCCAGGAAGCACCCTCCATGCACTCTCCCATAATCTCATGTGTAGTCACTACATCTTGTCCACGTCCCCATCCCAACTTCTCCTGATCCCCACACCCATTCTGTCCCCATCATGGCTGCTAGGCAGGCCTTTCATTTCTGACACTGCCAGCTACTTCCACAGACCCATGACTAGCTTCGCTATCTCCAGCCTGGATGGCTCTCTGCTCCCAAAGCTCCCAGGAGGCTTTTCCTTCTGTGACCATTCTTGTGCTTGTCTACCAAACAAAAAATTCTATGACTTGGGGCTGGGGAGATAGCTCAAGAGGCCGAGGAGATAGCTCAGTAGAATAAGCGTTTGCCTGGCAAACGCAAGATCCTGAGTTCAATCTCCGGTACTGGGAAAAAAAAATTCTGTGACCTGTCTAGAGCATCTCTAAAGTTCTCAGTCCAGCAGCCAGACAATGACTCAGTCATTCCTTTACAGACCTCTGGGCCAAAACAAACACCTAACAGTTCTCCACTGATTTAAGTAATTAGTTCTAATCTTAGTATTCCCATACCAAGCCAATTGAGGATACGAATCATTAAGTCAAAAGAAAAATATTATTTCAAACAGTGTGATGGTACACACTTGTAACCCCAGCCCTCTGGGAGGCTGAGGCAAAAGGACTAAAGGACTACAAATTTAGGCCGAACCTGAGGGACTTAGCTAAAGCCTGTGTTAAAATAAGAAATAACAACAACAACAAAAAAAGAAATAAAAAGGAACAGGGGCTCTGTGTGAAGGTCCTGGGCTCAACCTCCAGTACTGCAAAATGAAAGTATCATCCTTTAAAAATCACAACTAATTCTTAATGAGATATGCATGCCAGATTGTATCCAACATCCCTAATCCCGAAATTAGATGTGGTGCTTCCATTTTCCTTAGCCATTTTTCACCTGCATTTTCCCACAGTGCTAGCTTTAATCATAACTGCTGCAAACTCAGTTTCTTAGAAGATATGGTATCACTGAAGGGAATGAGGTATAGCCCAATAATACAACTGTAAAATATCTTGAGCTGGTAGTGTGAATGGCACTGCAACAGATGTCACATACCAGTGTTTTCTTCCAAGTGCCCACTATTTTTGGTGTTCTGTGAGGTCACTCAGTGCACATGCTGCAAATGGCCTCTGTTCACCTCCACTCCTGTGTGGAAGCTCTCCTCTCCCAATGCCTACATGGCTCCCCTACCTCTGCTCCAGTCATCTCTGAGCACCCCCGGAGTCCATGCAGCTGATGAGTTTTTCTTGCCACTATGTCTCGGTACACCTGAAAATTGCCACCTCCTTCTGTCACAACACAGGGCCCACCAGCAGATCCTGGGTCCTCTACACAAGTCTGTAATGGTCTACCCCCAGCCGCTCCCTTGCTGCTGTACACACTCTTCATTTGGTAACCAAAAGCCTACAGGGGGTTCGGTTCTCAGCATGTTGTTTCTCCCCGTGAATGTACGAGGCTTACTTTCTGCAACTCCTGCCTGGTGTGCTCTGATCTCTGGTACACACTTCTGCTTGCCAAGAAATAAAGTTCCACATTTTCACAGGTTTTTCAAACTTTCTTCTTCACCCCTTTCTGAAAGCTTTTAGATAACTCTCTGGGGGCTCCTCAACCTGGCAGTGCTGCTCTTGGGGACAACAGTGACCAAGAAAAATGCAGGTGCACTTTCAGATAGCAAAGAGGCTGGAGGACAGCACTACCGTGAGTACTTAAGACAACAGGGGTCAGGGACAAGCATCTTGCAAAGGATGGGTCACTTGCTCAACCAAAAGTTACCCATCTGGAACGCCAATTACATACCTCCCTCCTCCACTGAGAAATACCACAGCAAGTGGGATCTCTTTGAAGGTTTTGATGTTCAGGATTTTTGTTTAATGCAGCTTGTGTCATGATTTTTTTAAAGCTTAGTTTTACTCTATTTGCTCAAGTAGTAGGAATGACATACTAGGCAACAGAGGCCCAGAGGAGAAAGGTACAGATGACCAGGAGGAATGGTGGCTGTAACCAAGAGGAAGAGCAGACTGTGGGGGAGCTGGAGTCTGCAGGTAGGAAAGAAATATGAGGTGGCAGTAGGGATTTAGGAGGCAATAGCATGCTGGAGTTCAGGGTGGTCACTCTAAACAAGAAGAACAGTGAGGAGAGGTGTCCCTGAAATCAGAATGCTAAGAGCTTACAGGCACTTGTAAGGAATAGGGGAGTGGGAACTCAGCCACCAAACTGAAGATGGAAGGGTCCAGCGGGGCAGAGGACTAGATGTGGGGGCAATGCCAGTTGGGTCAAGAAATGCTCAACTGTGGCAGGTGCTCCAGAGCAGTCAATGGTCTGGGAAGATGGACGTGGCCGGGGACACTCACATTAGGTGCCCAGGAATATGGGCCAGGCAGATACCCAGCAGGAAGGGATAAGGCAGCAGCTGCCAAATAGCCTGTTCTGAGGAGATGGTTTGTGAATGAGAGGAGAGAGGAGAAAGCACAATAGCAGAGCAAAGGCTTCAGAGAGGCCCGTGTTGCTGCTAACTGCTTTTCTCTCTCAGAGGAGAGACAGCAAAGTTGCTGCGCCAAGTGGGTTAAGTTCTTGGGTGAATGCCCAGTGGACGAGTGTGTGGAGAGCAAGGGCGCACAGCAGCAGGTCCTTAAGGGGCTGTACACGTAAATGCTCTGGGGCCTGCAGGCCCTGTGCACAGACAGCTCACACCAGGCTGCTCAGGCACCAGGAGGAACAGCAGTGCTGCTCTTCCTCACCACCATTACTGCTCCCCAAGAAGCCTTGAGAGGCATTTGCTTTCTGACTGTACGTCTTGTGCAATTTTAATACCACAGATATTTTGTACGTAATATGCAACATGCATGTCTGTGCCTTATTCATAAAATGAGTAAGATTTTCCCCACTCTAACCTCGAAACCCATGTTCACTCCTTAGGGGCCCAGGTGCTATGGCCTTGCTATCACAGTCTGGCTGAAGTTGAAGACCCATAAACCATGGTAGCTGAGCCCTCAAGTCACGTAACTTTCTTCAGTGGCTACTAGCAAGCAGCCAGAGGGGAGCAGAGGGCAAGAGAAGTTGCTGGGCTGCTGAGGGCAGGGAAAGTGAAGGTAGCCAGGGAGAGCACTCCACACTATGAGCTGCACCAATGCCATGGCTTGCTAGCCAGGCCAGATGGAGGCCCCAGGCCTAGCCGTTTCTGGTGCTATGAGTCCCACAGAGCTTTGTTCCATCACTGTCTCTCTCTGGATGATGAGAGAATCTACACCTGGGGCCCAGGCTCACTCTGGCTGCTATGTTCCCTCCCAACAGTAGTCTTCTTCCACCATTCTTACTTTTGTGGTTTATTTCTTCATTTCTATATTAGTGCTGGACATTGAACCCATAGCCTTACACATGGTAAACAAGCACTCTACCACTAAGGTATATTCCCGTCCATATTTATTTATTTATTCATTTGGAACTGGGCTCTTGAAGAGTTACTCAGGCTGGCCTTAAGGTCATAATTCTCCTGTCTCAGTCTCCTTAGTAGCTGGCAATATAGACAGAGGCCACCGTGGCTGGCTCCTTCCTAAACTCTATCCACAAGGGCAGTGGCCATGGAGAAAGCCACTATTGAGTGAAGAAAGAGAAAGGACTATTTTCATTATTTTTCTTTCTTTATACCTCAGGATCTAGAGTTAACAATCTCTTCCTAACAAAGGACAAGACACTGACATTAGAAGAACTGTTTTGAAAAATACCCTTAAGTACACATAGTCTCACCTCTAGTGACCTGTCATGTCGAAAGCCCCAGACACAAGCTGCAACAGACACCGGGGAAACAAAGAACAGCGGCATGAAGACCAGAAGCCAGAAATGGCTTCCTCTTTCAATCCTGTCACAGACCAGCACTTCGAACATCAACAAGAGCAAGTGGATGCCCACAGCAATCAACATGGCTTTGAACTCCACACATGTTTCTCCTTCTGCTCTAAAAAAGGACAGAAAAAGAAAAAGACCCTCAGTTCAGAGTCTCCATTCAAAAGCAGTTCACTGCAAATATAAATACCAATTTAAGTTGAAGTTTTAATTTGACTTGTATATTTGACAAAAAAGAAACCGAATCTCCAATCTTCCAAGCAGCAAAGGCAAGAGATAAACATTATAACCAAATCAAATTTCATGTTTTAACTGTTTAACGATTTACTCTCACTAATAACAGCCACGCATTATTTCCCAGAATACATACATAGACACTTTTGCTCATAACTTTAACTCATGAAAAGGTACTTCATAGATTTCTCACACTGCTTCTACTGTTAAAAGCTGATAACTATTTGTTTTTCTATTGCAAAACTTAGGGTTTTATTTTATTTTTTTTCTTTTCAAAGTTTTATTGATAAACATATAGCAATGAGACAGTTTCAAATCAAATTGAAAGTACAGTTTCAACAAATAATACACTGCATATATTCTTCTTAGTGGTTAATTGCTGTACAAGATGCAGACTTGTGATCCTACTTACAAACTCCAT